GGGCTCCTCTGTCCACGGGGCCACAGGTCCTGCCAGGAGCCTGTTCCAGTGCAGGCTTCCCACGGGGGCCCAGCCTCTTTTGGGCATCCCCCTGCTCCGGTGTGGGGTCCTCCACAGGCTGCAGGTGGAGATCTGCTCCCCCGTGGACCTCCCTGGGCTGCAGGGGGACAGCCTGCCTCACCGTGGTCTTCCCCACAGGCTGCAGGGGAATCTCTGCTCCGGTGCCTGGAGCATCTCCTCCCCTCCTCCTGCACTGACCTGGGGGTCTGCAGGGCTGGGGCTCTCACATGTTCTCATTCTTCTCTCTGGCTACCGTTTCTGTGTGCCCTGCAACTTTTTGTCCTTCTTAAATCTGTTATAACAGAGGCGCTACCACTGTCGCTGATGGGCTCGGCCTTGGCTAGTGGCGGGTCCATCTCGGAGCCAGCTGACATTGGCTCTGTCAGACATAGGGGAAGCTTCTAGCAGCTTCTCACAGAAGCCGCCACTGTAATCCTCTGCTACCATAACCTTGCCACACAAACCCAACCCAATATTTTGGTAAAAAGTTATTTCTGAAAGTGAAAATACCTTTGTTAAAATCGTAATTGCGCTTTTCCTGTTGAGAAATAAGTGTCCTTCCAAGAAACCTGGCGCTTCTATTTTGGTAAGAAAGCACACACGTTCATAAAGGTGACCGACCGCCTTAGGGCAGCGTGTTTGTTCCTTGCACCTGCCCAGCGAAGACTTAATGGTGTCTGGTGGCTGAGTGCTGGCTGGAGATGCTGCCCGATGTCTGAGAGCGCAACGAGAGGAGCAGAGCGGGGAGCAGGAGGCTTGAGCCTGGGAAGAGGAGGGAGAGAGGAGATGGACATGAGTGAATTGAACTAACGGTGCTGTCCGGAAGGGTAGGGAAGGGGGGTGAGAGCGGAGAAGGCTGGAACTGGAGCAGCTGGAGGCCCGCACCGAAGGGGCTTAGGCTGGGAAGGGGAACGGTGCCGTTCTCCACAGGCCCCCGGAGGAGAGAGTGAAGACCCACCATTGCCACGTTGCATTTGACGGTCTGCGCGCCTCACGGTAACGTGGAAACGCAACCGCTCCCCTCAGCCCGGGACGCGGCCCGTCTCGGACCACTGACAGCACCCGTCCTCCGCCCCTCATCCTCCCCAGCCCGCCGCGGTGAGGCGGCCCCGCGGCAGAGAGCGGGCCGGGCGCCGCCTTCCCCTCACGGCCGGTTGGCGGCGGGCAGGGC